AAGAAATGGGCCCCATGCTCTCATGAGAGACTGTGTTTTCAGTCAATGGAGAGTGCTAAGAACAAAAGCTATCTATCTCTACAATAAGGAAGGTCTCCTTCTCCTGTTTACCATCGCTAGGCGATGGCTCAGACCTTTCGCGACGATGGCGATGTCCTGTATCTTCGCTGTCTAACTTGGTAGTTACTAATATGTGTGTCCACTGAGTGGTCGGAATGTGGCCTAGTGCAACTAAGAAACGCAAGTTTTCATTTTATTTAATTCCAACGAATTGAAATTTAAACAGCCAAGTGTGACTAGTGCCTACCATGTAAGCTGAGAAGCTATAGCTCGGTTGGTAATATTCATAACTAGAAGAGTAGCAGCTAATTATTGAGCATTGTATTATATGCCAAACATTGTATTATGCATTATATGCAGTAATTTATTTTTTAAAGTATATATTTATTTCAGAAAGGAAAGGAGAGGGAGCGAGAGATAGAAATATCCAGCATGAAATTTAAACAGCCAAGTGTGACTAGTGCCTACCATGTAAGCTGAGAAGCTATAGCTCGGTTGGTAATATTCCTAACTAGAAGAGTAGCAGCTAATTGTTGAGCATTGTATTATATGCCAAGCATTGTATTATGCATTATATGCACTAATTTATTTTTTAAAGTATATTTTTATTTATTTCAGAGAGGGAGAGAGAGATAGAAATATCCAGCAGGGGGTGTGCAGGAGGCAGCTGATCAATGTTTCTCTTATATATATATGAAACATCAATAATGAGAGAGAATCATTGATTGGCTTCCTCCTGCACGTCCCCCACTGGGAATTAAGCCCGCAACCCGGGCATGTGTCCTGATCAGGAACCATGACCTCCTGGTTCATAGGTCTACACTTAACCACTGAACCCCACCAACCGGGCTATATGCACTAATTTAATCCTAATGAACAACTGTCGGAGGTAATTACTAATATTATACCCACTTTACAGATGAGGCAACTGATGCGTAGAGAGTAAGCACTGAGCCCACATGACAATCTAGAGCAGGGCAAGTTGGATTTAGCACCTCGGAGTAAGGGCCCTAGCACCCTCAGTCTTAACCTGTGCCCCAGCCCGCCTCTCCATAAGATGGCGGTGAATTTATTCACCACAAGGACATGGCAGCACGGGTTATCTCCACCCTGCTCACTACCTGATTGGGCAGAAAGGCATGAAAATGATCAAAACATGAAAAACCATTTAAAAATAGTAAACTCTTTGAGGACTTCAGGGCTAAATAAATTCAGAGTTGCCCTACTGAGTCGCTTGGAATAATTGCATAAGGATGTGTCAACTCCCTTTGCCTACACATCCTGTGGCCCACTGAGCTCAGGAAAAAAGAAATATTCCCCCGTTTTCTATTCGGTGTTGTCATGGAGATGCAGCCTCAAACAAAGATGGTGCTGTTTTCCGCTCCAGTAATAGAGTTCGGCAATTAGCATCATCTTTATTTAGTCTGCAACACCAGTCTGGAAGATCTCTTGAGAGAAGACCTTGAAATAGCTTCCCACAGTGCTAGCAGGCAGACAGAGAGGACTTCCTGGGAACGTGGTGAATGCCGCTGGTGCGAGAAACCTGAAAACACTTAAAAAAATCAGTCTGTTTAATATCCTGAAAAATGTTCTACTGTGTGATCGCCATCACATCAACACCATATGTGGGTGTTGATTATCAGGCAGGATTGTCAACAAAAGTTCCCGAACCTGGATGTGCATCGGAATCCCTGGGGAAGAGCGTTCAGCACGCGAGACATTTTGATGAGCATCAGGGTGGGGAACAAAGGATTTAAATTCGACCAAAGTATAAACTCAAGTGCATTTCAGATTTCTTCTTGGCACATTTCTGGCCATAAATCGGATTTTGAAATTGGCCCTTGGTATTTCCTTCCATATCTGGTACTAACAGGTGGTAGTAATTGAATGTAAAGTCGCCAGGATGGCGACCGTGTTGCTGTCTGGAGGCCTGCCGTCAGGGAATACGCGCTGTGTTATGAAATTAAATGAAAGCTGAGTGCGTCTCAGTGTGGTTTCCTGAGTGGCTCCTCTGAGAGCGCAGTAACATTTTGGCTTTAGGACACCTTTGCTCTAAAACAGGATCAATACTAAACAGGTTGAAGACTAGACAGGAGAGGTATTGATATTTCAATTTGAAAATCCTGCAGGTTTTTTCAGACGAAAAATCAGAGGCAGACGGATTACTTGACACGCACACTTTATTGCGGATGGTACAGAAGGAGAATGGGTACAAGAGATGGCAGGGCAGAGGATCAGACTGGAATCTCCAAATTCTTTCCTAGAGGGAACACAAGCAGAAACATCCAGTTAATTTAGGGGACACCATGGCAACACTGCTGTCTACCATCCGAACACCCCCCATGCCGAACTCTGGTCTGAGAGCTGTGCTTTCTGTGGTCCTCACAACCACCATGGTAACCACCGAGTGCCCCGAGGCACAGGGAGGTGTCAGCATTCAGCCTGCGTGGCCTAAACCATAGTCCCACACGCTGACCCCCTACTCCACTTTGTTCTCCTTTATATGGGCGTCAGGTAGGAGCCCTGTTAGGGCTACTGTCCCTCTACATGACCCAGAAGAGACTAAGAATTCAGTACTCAGGAGGAGACTGGCTTTCTCAGGGGTGCGTCGGGGTAGGGATTGCTCCCCCATTTGGTGGCATTGACGTCATTCTTAAAGCCCCAAGAAAAGGTTCCAGTGGGCCAAGGTCTCAAGACTTGTTTCAGTTTAATGTTTCCTTATTTTGGAATATTGAGAGGACATTGCTGGTACGTGATGAGGACCACCCAGGACTAAGCCCATACTGGAAACGGGGCAAGGTCTGTTCCATTCATTGAATGCATCGGCGGGCTGGGTAGCAGAGCCTCCCTGGGATGCTTAGAAGGATGCAAAAACGATAACTTGCCTGGGACAATCGCCTGACTGTAGGCCAGTGCAGATGGTCAGTGCGGTTGCACTTTTTCACCTGAATGGAAACAACAGCTCAAGTCTCAGTCTGGACTTTGGCAAACCCCGGGAAATGAAAATGCAAATGAAATTTGCAAACATGACAAGAATGAGGGAAAGAGGAATTAAGTTCCCAGAACAAAAACCTAGCATTTTTCATGCTAATCCTAGGTGGCCAGCTTCATCAAATTTTTTAGCTAACACAGATGATAATGAGCCCTGTGGCCAGTGTCTTTCTACAGCCTTGCTGTGATGAAGGAAGAGAGAGAAGAAACGGGCGATGAAGCTGTGGTAGGGATTAGCTTTTCACATTCGTGGGAGAGGAAAATGTCTATTTTCAGTGCTACCAAGTCCTCTTTTGGATCTGTCCTTTGCTTAGGTTTCCATGCCAAACCTCATCACCGTATGCAGAGGTGGTGTCTGCTTAGAGCCATCAGTAGGTGACGCTTTGTGATTTTAACTGCGAACAGGCTGCGCTCAGCCCTGGATGACCTGTAGGTCTTGATTATGTTATTCAGTGGATTTCAATGACTTCTCAAGAGTTCAGCATTTCCAGCTCTAGAAGGCCATGTTCTCGGAGGCAGGAACTATACTCTTTAATTTTCAGACGATCAAAAGAATCCAAGAGTAGGTGAAATAGCATCAAGTAGTCTCATCATTTGCGGTATCATTAAGAGGGAAAAAAAAAGGAAAAAGAGGCCACATCTCTCATTCCAAATGGCCCTGAAATCAGATTGTGATTTTCAACTTGAAGCCCCGGAGGGCCTCGCTCATCTTCAGGAATCAACTGAAGAGAACAACAAACAAATGCTGATGAGATGGATGATGCAGACTGAAACGTTTTGTTCAGTTCCGCTCAGAAAGACATATTGGGAAGGATTCTGGCCAGAGGACCCGAGTGCAGGCATCCACTGTGCCCGGCATTGGCGTGTGCCTGGCATCTTGCCTCACAGCTCTGAGCCAGGTGCCTCCTATGCGGAGCGGGGACAATGAGCTTTGTCTCCATGGATGGCTGAGCACTTTGTAAGGCTGTAGCAATAGGGATGATACGGTGCAATTATCATCATGGTAATTGATATTGTTGTTGTTATTATTAAATTTCTGTAAAGAACTATGCCAGGTCCTTTGAAGACTGAGATGAATGAGCCTGGCCCTCCATGGAGTTCTCCTTTTGAAGTAAGCTTGAAAAATACCAAACTTCAAAGTATCAACGAAGATCTCTGAGAGGTTTTGTTAATTGATGTTGTTGCAGTATCCTGGTCTCCAAAGGAAACCTAATGTGTTCTCCCAAGCAAAGATTAAGGGACTCTATGGCACTCGGTCATTTTTCTATCACTCAAGACATATCCCAGAGCTGTTATTTGTACTTAAAATGCTCTTCGGCGTGCCAGCCGGCCTGAAGTTACCTGTCGAAGTTAATCACATGGAGTGGTTCATATATCAGGGGGTATGAGCTAGCTGTCCTGCAGCAGCCTGGCTGAGTGATGGATGGCCTGCCCTGTCAATTCCACCAAGACAAAGGCTATGAATGAGCCATCACAGGACCGCAGTGAGCCATCTCAAGAACAGGGCTGTTGTGCTGCCAGAGGAGAGGATGCCTGATTTCCCGGGCAATCTAGATGTCACCCCCCTCAACTCTGATGGCTTATGGTAGACAAAAATGCACCCACCCACAAAAGAGGAGAAAGGAAAGCCAGTGAAAACAGAGACAAGCAGGGACTAACGGTGCTACACACAGCCCTTTGTAAAGGAGGGCTTTCCTTTATGTGTTCCCATGCCACCTCCGTGGTATCCCAGCAAGGAAATTTGCTCCCATCTTATCCAAGAGGAAACTGAAGATCAGGGAGAATGGGACTCAGAGCTCCATGAGGCGAGTAAGCTATGCTACCCCAAGTATCGGAGTCAGGGTTAGGACCCTGATCCAGTTTTCCTTATTCGTGGCCAGAGGGAAAAACAAAACAAAAACAAAAAAACAGGACACTCAAGGTCATAACTGATACTTGGACCAACACTTACAGCAAGGGGATTGCTGATTCCTGTCATGTTCTTCTAAGTGCTTGGGTCGGCTCAGCAAGATCAGGCTTTGGAGACGTGTCCTCAGCCCTCTTGATGCAAGCTGGGGTCCTCCGAGGTTACCCTGAAAGAGGGCAGAGACATAGAGGTAATTCAAACCTAATTTTAAACTTGAAAAGAAAAAAAATGAGAATATTCATGTGGATCATTAAGAGAAATAATGATTACCTTTGATTCCTAGAGAAAGTTATTTTAAAATGCATCCAAGTTCCATTGCACAGCCAAAAATAAAAAATAAATTAAAAAAAAAACAAGAAAGAAAGGAAAACAAATCCTCGAAGCTGAGCCATGTCCTTAGGAGGCAGAAACAAGTCACCATCACTTGAGTCCAGAGAAGATGCTCATTCACAGTAATTGGGAGGAGGAAGATTGTAGAGATTAACTGACCTTGGTTTAGGACACACACTGTTTCTTTACAAATGCAAATGATGCCTGGGGCCTACAAGACAAAATCTGTCTTTAATGCCAGTCTCTAAGAAAATGCATTAATAATAATAATAAAGAAAAACACCTACTGATTATGTTTTTACCGAAGTAGAAGCTATACCTATTTAAAATAAGTACTTAGGATCCAATTCTAATGGTAACTTTGAAGTCCAGGTGCCCTTTGAAAGAAAAATGGTGTAGATATCCGTGGTCCATAACAGGAAAGAAATAGAAATAACACTTGATTGGTTTTATACGTGGGGTTCACTCATCAAAGGTCCATCAACTCCACACCTGCAGATGCAGTCCTGCCTGGCTGGTTGAAAATCGAACATAAAGGCAACAGCATAGGGATGACACTTGTGACATCAGGGCTTCATGCTGCCTTCCCAGGGCAGCGTGTGTGACCTTAGAGGCCTGATCTGGGAGAACACAATTCCACTTGCTGAAGCTGTAGACTTAGTGTTTTCTCCTCCTTAATAAATGCCCACTCTTAGATATTTACTGGGTATGTACTGCGTCCAAGGTAAGGCTAGCAGCCTTTGGTATGTGAGGTTTTGTACTCCATTCCGAGCTCATTTTCTAATATTTGCCAGGCCCCGTGCTAAAGGCGCAGGGATAAAGGTGATGCGGTCCCACTATGCCCAGGCTGCTTCCCGTGTGTCATGCCCTGAACCATCTGCCTGAACACCTCATGCCTCAGCCTTACAAACTGCTTTCTAGGCCTGGGACACCATATCCTTTTGTTCTCCGGGTTCTTTCTGCAAACTTGTGTCCTGCGTTGAGTGCCCTTTCTTTGCAGCTGCCTAAAGTCCTTTTTAAGACCAGCTCCAATCACACCTCCTGGTGATGCTCTGCTCACATAGCTCAGCCTCACTCGCATAGACCTCTCCTAAGGGCCCCTGTCACTCTGAATTATAACTGCTTACCTTGAAGTCTTCCATCAGATCTGGGCTACCTGAGGGTACTGTCCGCTTCTGTCCCCAGTTCCTAGTCAGTTCAGGGCTGACCCAGAGGAACAGTGCTCAACAAATGTTTCTTTGACCCAACTTAAGATTATTCTTACAGTTAATAAATCCTGGCCAGGTGGTGCTCACATGTAAAACTTGACACAAAGAGTTTGAACAGGGAGGATTTGTTCCTTAAGCATTATTAGTTTTGTTAAAAATTGTCCTTGTTTTTTGCTACCCTGAGGAAGTAAATGGCATTGTAAAAATGAGACTGCATTATTATAACCTAACCTATGTGCCACTTTTTTAAAAGTAATTTGGTAATTTGACATCATATATCTCCCAGTGAGAATGAGTAGAAATAACGTTCTTCTATTTTTTCAAGTTCATCTTGCCCTTTATGTTTACGTTCATTTTATATTCTTTTCCATTCAGTTATTCATCATAATGGTTTATAGTAAATAAAACTCTCCCCCCCCCAAAAAAAAACATCCAAACAAACAAAAACAACTTGACACAGTTTTTGTGCCTTTGGGATGTGTGTGTGTGTGTGTGTGTGTGTGTGTCTTTTATGCTACAAACTAGTAGGAATCCTAGCCACATGCACTTTCATCCTATTCTTTAAGTTCAGCTGAAGTGGAAGAACAGAGATGGCAAATATTAATTGGTTTTTGAGGCTGCTGAGATTGTAAACCCCAATGAGAGAAATGATGGCATTTCACAGAGCTCTTAGGCAGAAAGATATGCCGAAAAGATTTATAGCTGCATTTATTTCTAAGGTGATTTCATGTCAAAGGTCAGGTGACATATATTCTTTGCTATGCTTCACTTACAGAGTTTCAGAATGGATTTTAAATTGAGGGAGTCTCCAGTTAACTCAGAAACATCGCAGTGAATGTTAAGGAGGAGAGAGAGTCTCGACATAATAGAAAAGTCGGATGTCCAGTTGCCAAAATGTAGAAATGTGAAATGACCCCCTTATAGAAATTATAGAAAATAAGAGAGTATTAATGTTTTATAATCCATTTAATAAATGAATGAAATGCCAACACTAGTATAACCAGTGTACTTGCATGGAAGAACATACCTTGTAAAAAAATACTCAGGGCTAATAAATGTCCATATTTGTGAATTAAAGTTTTAAAAATCAGAACACCATCCTCTGGTTTGAAAATTTACCTCCTAACAAAACAGTCACTTTCCTGACCTGGTGATGAAGCCAGATTAATTGGGCTTTTTTTTTCTTTAATTGCATTTTAAAATAAATGTCACTAGATTGATAACACTCTGCAGAGTTTTCAAATGTAGAAAAACATTCAGAAAAAGATGCAGGCAGTGTTGCTCCCGCTGATGCCAGACCCCTAGTGCGTGTCGAAGGCGGGTGCAGTGTATGAGGTGCGTTTTCCAGCCGTGAGGGGTTCTGCTCTGTCTCAGTCTGAACCTGCTTCTTCCCAACACCAACAAGCAGGCGTGGGTTTGCTCTGGAGAGGGCGCCTTTGCTGGCGCGTTGGGGCCAAAACAGAAGTCTTACTAACATAGTCGTGTGGAAGTTCACTTTGAACCTCGAGGTTTTTCTTGCCTGTGTTGTCTCCCTGAAAACAACCGCCTAGAAACAGATTTGAACACATAACCTGAAGCTTCTTTCATGGTGCTTCCAGCTTTCCGGTCTGATTGTAACCCATACAAGGTGGTACCCTCCCTTCTTGGAACAAACTTAACTTAGATTAGCTTCCACTCCCCATCGTTTTTAAGTAGCTATGTTAGATATTTTTCAGTAATTTGTAAAGCCACCTCTAAATGGTTGCATTTTAAAATAAATGTCACTAGATTGATAACACTCTGCAGAGTTTTCAAATGTAGAAAAACATTCAGAAAAAAAGATGCAGGCAGTGTTGCTCCCGCTGCTGCCAGGCCCAGAGTGTGTGTCCAAGGCGGGTGCAGTGTGTGGGGTGCGTTTTCCAGCCGCGTGGGGTTCTGCTCTGTCTCAGTCTGAACCTGCTTCTTCCCAACACCAACAAGCAGGCATGGGTTTGCTCTGGAGAGGGCGCCTTTGCTGGTGCGTTGGGGCCGGAACAGAAGTCTTACTAATACAGTCGTATGGAAGTTCACTTTGAACCTCTAGGTTTTTCTTGCCTATGTTGTCTCCCTGAAAACAACCGCCTAGAAACGGATTTGAACACATAACCTGAAGCTTCTTTCACGGTGCTCCGAGCTTTCCGGTCTGACTGTAACCCATACAAGGTGGTACCCTCCCTTCTTGGAACAAACTTAACTTAGATTAGCTTCCACTCCCCATCGTTTTTAAGTAGCTATGTTAGATATTTTTCAGTAATTTGTAAAGCCACCTCTAAATGGGCAGGAAAGGGAACACCTATTCAATATCCTTGAAACAAGACAATTCTAGCGAAAAAGTTTACTTCTAAATAGCACATCCTAAAAATATATATTTTTTACTGAAAGATTGACTGGGGACCACTTTCATCTTGCACCCTTTCAACCAAAAGGCATCAACTTAGAATGGAGCTAGCGAGAATTTTTAATGGATTGAGATTAAATCTACCATTTTTACCCAGGGAAAATTCCTTCTCATTGATTCTGAGGCAGTCTCCTGGAAAAGGACTATTTAAGTGATGAGCTGCAGTGTTTTGACAAGCATTTGTACTGCAAAAACTTGAAATCTCACTGGAATACAGTTATACAGTCACTGGGAGAAGAGAATGCCCTATTTAAAAACTAGGACAGATCGTGTTGATATGGAGAAAGGAAAGAACCCTGTGAACAATACGTCTGAAATTAAAGACTGAGTCGCTCGCATCCATCTAAAATCAACAGAAAATGTAATTACTCTTTGGAAGTACTCTTGTCTTAGAGTGCTAAATGGATTCAAAAGAGCAAGATATTGTTTGTACTTAGTATACCATTACAGGAACAAAGATGGGAGAAACATAGCAATGATCTGATAAAAGTTCCATGTTAGCCACGTAGAAAAGAGAGACTAGCCACATCCTGAACCAATATTTCCCTTCCCCATGGTATGACCTCTCTCTCTCTCTCTCTCTCTCTCTCTCTCTCTCTCTCTCAGAATCCCTCTAGAGATAGGTCTCTCTATTTTATAAGCATAATAGGAGGTTTAGAGGTAATCGAAAGAAACCCTTTTATTCAAAGCCACCACATGCTTTTAATAACTTTACTCCATGTCTTCTACTGTTTATTTTCCCTCCGTTTGGAATACTCTGCCTCCAGCTGGACTTGCAAGTGTTGTTTTCCACTATGTTACAATATCGCTTAGGCTGAAGGAGGGAGGTAATAATACGACCACTAATATTCTTCCGTAGTGATATGTAAGCATCCATGGTGAATCAGTTAGTATTCTTATGGCAGTTGGCTCCATGCCCAATTCACACATTACACTATTCGCTGTGTTTTAAAGCTATTAGTTTGAATACCTTTGATATTTATTGGTGATTCTTGGGTCTGGCTAACGTTGAAATGCATTTTTAGAGTCCTGTTCTCTTTTATTGGACCTTTCCCAGCTCTGTGAAATGACTGAAGTTGGTTCAGTGTTTCTCCAAGGCAGAACTAGGAGCCACAAATCATCTTCAATACATTATCAAGCTCAGCCAGCAAACCCCTTTTCATTTTTTTTTTTTTTGCTGCAAAGAACAAACCAAGACCATTTGGGATTTAA